GGCCTCTGTCCTGACTGATACCCACATTCTCCCACTCAAAGTAACCTCACAACCATAATGCTTCAGCTCCCTTATTTTCATCACTTGCCACTTCCCAGTCCGCCTCCTTTGGGCTTCATACTCTTGAATTTGCTTACCTGAGGTTTCTGAAAAGGGGTTCTTCTGGAAGACTCAAAGGTGGGATAAATTGAACGGGTAGTCGTCCACTGTGCAGGATCTTGGCACACAAATCCTGAATGGGGAATGAGCAGTATTAAAAACCCTCCCTTTTCTAAGAATTTAGCCAGTTTGGTTGCACCTTTTAGACCCATCCTAAAGAGAGTGGTGCTGAGTGAGTGGCTGAAATGTGATCCCAATCAACAGAGATGTAGCTTTTGATGAATCTCAAAAAAATGTGTAAAATACCATTTTAAAAACAGAGTTGTTGGTAAAAAGAAAGGTTTTATTTATTCTTTTAAAGTGGCTTTCTGGGGGCTGGAGAGATGGCTCAGCAGTTAAGTACAAACTACGTGCTCTTGCAGAGGACTTGGGTTCAGTTCCCAGCACACACAAGGCAGATAACAAGCTCCAGTTCTAGAGATCCAATGCCCTCTTCTGGCCTCTGTCAGCATTGTACACACATGGTGCACTAACATACATGCTTTGGCAAAATACACACATAAAATAAAAATGTGTAAATAAAAAAAAATGTAGGTGGCTTTCTGGATGAGTAGGGAAAAAAAAGTTTTTACCAGAAGAATCTAAGTAAGTATTCTGTCATGTCCTGTGACGATCTACTTCAGGGGTTGCAAAAGATGGCCTACTGGTAATTTCCCAAACGGGCTTTATGATTATCTATGGCTTAGAAAATTGGACTTCAGTTAACTTCATTTCCTTCCTAAAAAGAAGATTCTCAACCAAAATGAACAAAGTGGCTAAGTTTTACAACATCTGCTAGTGCCAAAAGTACTAGTTCATGTCAAATATATTTCATTGTGTCTTTTCAGGAATTTAAAAAAGCAATAATAAATCCGCATCGTGCACACCTGACTGTCCATCTCCATTTCAAAGTTCTGACTTATCTACTTAAGATGGGATTGCTTCCTTGGTCTGCTCTGGCTATAACTACTGCAGCAGGGATCATCCTGAAACCAGCAGAGACTGTCTAGCAGACACACAGCCGGTCTCCTTTGTAACAAGGCTTCTTCAGTGGTTTCGTTTTTCCCAAGTCAGAGAAAAATATACTCTCTGCAGATCTTTGCTTAATTCTCTGCCTCAGCTCATAATTCCCATGCCCCAGGTCTCAGCCTTAGTTGTGGTTCAGCCTCAGGACAGGATGGAGCCAGGAGGAGTAGAAATGTATAAACACTTCCCTGAAAATATAATTTTTTAGTACAAAACATTCAGCGTGGCTTAGGAACTGCCAGTTGGCAATACCTATGGAGCCTGGCAAAATGGAAGCTCTGGTTAATTTCTTATGCGAGTTCAGTTCGGAACACACTGCTACTCACCTACAACAGTGAACATATCTGAAATCATACTGGCTTTAATCTTTAGGTCCAGAGGTGCATCACTAACAGGACAGAAAGAAAAGAGCAATTGATACATTTGTAGGTAAAGTGAAGAGCTGCTTCTTCATGAATCTCAATACAGCAAAGTTTCCAAAGGTCAATGGAAAGGGACACAGAAAGCACAACAAATCCATGGAAAAGGGAAGAGAAATCTGGGCAAAAAATACTAGAAATAAAAGTCCTGTGCTGAACTCATCCTCTGCAAGGCAAGCCTAGCACCAATGCACTGCTTCCCTGACATGGAATCGTTTAGTCTAGATGTTGTGTGATTCAAGTTTTGCACAAGTCAGGAGCCCTGCTTCATTATCACTGAGGATCTTAGAGACTCTGATTTTTCACATGCTCTTTTATGACAGTGTCTGACATCCAAATTGTGTTTTAGCGCTATGACAGTTGAATCACATTACATGCAAGACAAGAAATTTTGGCCACCTTTGTACTTTTTGGAAGTCTTCATTTTCTGTTCTAAATCAATCTTAGGCTCACAGGCTTGTAAATAGGGCAAAAAGATCCAAGGAAGGCATGCCAACATCTGACTAGATGCTGTAGCATGAACCCATGCTACAGAGAAACCGAAACAGTGTGGACCAAAAGCAAAAGGCCTTCTTGTGAAGAGGACTGTGCAGGAGCATCGGTATCGAGGTGCTCCTACACGACCACACTACTCGTGCTGCTGGCCCAACACCTTCCTTTAGGATCTCTAACACTGTCTCCTGTACATCACTGGGCTACATACAAAGGGCTGACTTAACAGAAATGCAGCAAAAGCACTGTCCAGCTGCATACCTTATCCTGAGGTGAGCCAAACCCCTACTCCATAAAGCAGTCAATGTGTCTTTATTTGAAGACCTGGCATTTAGCCAATCTCTCTCATCCTTAAAAGCTCAGCAGCTGGGTGGTCTTTGGCATAAATCTCTAGGGTTTTCTGTTTAGAGAAGCACATAGCTAATAGAAATTCCATCACTCCAGATGTAAGCAGGGTCTTCTTTGGTACTGAAAAATGTTTCTTTCTAAATAACAGATTAAAATAAAAAAATATGGAAGCCTGTGTGAAGGTTTTAGACATTAATCTTAAGTGTGCACCAGGCCATGGAATGGAGCAAAAGGACCTCTCTACACTGCCTGAGGTCAAGCTTCATACCTCTCAGTGTGTAGATCTCACCGAATAAGCCTGTGGCAGCAAGGAAAGCTTGACAGGTAAAGCATTTCTGCAGCCTTAACAGAACTCCCATGAAGTCAGAAAAAAGGGATATTTTTAAAATGATAGAAATTAACATAAGAGATGGGTGTGATGGCACATGCCTTTAATTCCAGCACTTAGGATGCAGAGGTAGGCTAATCTCTGTGAGTTCAAGGTCAGCCTGGTCTACATAGTGAGTTCCAGTCCAGCTGGGGCTATAGGGAAACTCCGTCTCAAAAAGACAAAAAAAAAAAAGAATTAACATAAGAATCATCTTTCAGAAGCCAAATAAATAGCTAACATGTTATTGCAAATTGGCTAGGAAGAAATGGATACCTGGTTGTCATACTGGCTTTGACAACATACCATAAGTCACCTATTTTTAAAATTTAAGTTGTTTCTGCCTAATAATAAAAAGAAATGTCTTTTGCCACCAAGAGAAATAACAGCCCCACCTAAAAAGAAAATATATTTTAGTGTCATTTGCAGTGTTGTATTTAAGTTGATGGAACTGACTTACCAGGCCAAAGAAGGAGAGAGATTCACTTCCAACAACCATGGCTTCAGAGTATTATCTATGAGCACATCAAAGCCATACAGTTCTGGAAATATAACACAACATGCAGGATCATTTTCCATGTCATGATACATATAGAATCAACTCCCGTCAGAAATCTAGAAACTCACTGAGTATAAGTAATGAGCAGAAAATCTTTAAAGTTCAAAAAAAGCTAATCACACTTGAAGGATAATTAAAAACACCACTGTAAAATACCATCCACTCTACTGACATTCCTGAGTTCTACATAGAAAGTTAGAATTAACCTGCACAGTTCTGCTGTGCTTATGGATGATGTGGAGAAGGAATGAAGCAAGCACATCCATTATCAAGGATACTTTGGACTTGCTCTGGACTGGCCATCCAATCACCTCCCTGCCACACTTTGAAGGCTGAGACACCTACAGTTGGCCTCTCTCTAGGATCCTTCTATCACACTTCCTTAACTTTAAGATGATGAAGGTCTGTGTAGGTTTGTTATGATATATAAAGGTTTGGTCCTAATCACACATGGTCTCCTGGATTGGGGGAGAACTAAAGTATACAATCTGGGGAAGGCTAGAAAGAGAAGGCTTGATCCATGCTGGGTAAAGGCTTGCCAGTGTGCATACACCCAGGTCACTCATATACCTCAGCAACCCCTCAGTCATCTCTGTAAGTAAGCTCAGTAAATTTCCCCAGGAAAACATTAATCAAACATTGGTTTGACACTAGAACCTTTAAAGGGGATAAGCATTGTTTAGTATCCCCAGGAAAAGAATTCCCACAACAGATGGAAGACTTATTTGTTAATGTTATTGTGTCTCATAATTATTAAAAAAGAAAATGAGAATGTAAATGATGCTAAAAGGATATGGGAATGGAGATATTTTCCAAAATAGAAAAAATGAGAAAGCCTAAGCAAGTGATGAAGGTCTGTGTAGGTTTGTTATGCATATAAAGGATGAGACAAAAATAACATACACAATAATCTTAAAATTTCTAAGGTCATAGTTTAGTCAACTAGTTTAAGGACAAAATATATATCTAGTCAATGTTTATCTGACAACATTCGGCTTTTTACCCAAGCTTTATCTATATTGCATATAGTAATTAAAAGTACCAGACTGGTGGAACTAAACTTATTGGATGTTTAACAGCCATATTTTGAGGCCTATACTAATCAGTTCA